ATCATGGCGAAGACTCATGTGCTGTAACCCGTAAGCCCACAGCAGCACCAGGTCCTCTCTAAGTGTCAGTGTGATGAGGTGCTGGGGACAGCTGATCAGAGTCCTGCATGCTCTTCTCAGGCCGCCCCGCACCTGTTCACCCCCCTCGAGAGAAAAGACAGTCGCTTTTGACAGAAGGAGACGCGGGTTTTGGTGGCATGAAAAACTCAGAGCGAGGTGATGTCAGGCAACTGCGGACTTGGAAGAGGCCGGTACGGGTGCCCTGGGGCCCCGACATCTTCCCTAGGACGCAGGCTTCAGGACAGTCCCGAGCTTGTGAGGTCCTGCAGAGACACTCTCTGGGCGGAGCACCTCAGCTTGCTGCTGCCAAGTGCCAAATGGTCCTGGCTCAGGGCTGGGCCGCTGCTGGCTGTCTTGTTTTTATTCTCTCTGCCTTTTTCTCTTTGAAAGCAAATTGTCTCCCCGGGCTATTATGACATGTCTCAGGCAGCTGGCCTGGCAGCCTCCAGAGTGATTTTGGACTTGCCAAGTAGGTAAGAAAGCTAGAAGGTGAGCAGCTTCTCACATCATCAACAAGGTTCCAAAAGGGTTCATGCCAAGCCTTTGCTCGGCGCCTTAAATGCATCACCAACTCCAAGAGAAAGGTACTACTACTCACACTTTGCAGTAGAGGAAACTGAGGCTCAGAAAGGTTAAGTCACCTCCTCAAAGCCACACAGCAAAAAATGGTGACTCCAAACTGATATTAGGACACAGAGTGAGTCTTTCACAGGTAAGAAACTCAAGCAAGGGAAGAACTTGAACTTGATTCTACCCAGACATTGACTTCACACGCCTCAGTCACGGTGCATTGTTCCCAAGTCTACTCCAAAGACAACAGATAATGCATGGAAAAGACGCACTTTAAGGGCATAGAGAGTGCATCATGGGAACAAAATCCAGAGAAAGGGAAGGAAGAATTTGGATCAGCACTGCAAAGCCAGATGCTGAATTCATTAATACATGCCTTTAGGAGTTTTTAGAAGCACAGAATCATAAGATTTCGAGCAAAAACCAAACAAGAAATAGAAAATAAAAACAGATTGCATTATTCTTCCTCAAAAGGTCACACTTCCCACCTGCAGCAGTAACTGGAGTTTAAATTGGTTGCACCATATGCATACATACAGCCATGGAAGCCTTGATCCCTACCCTTTCTACCCCACCCACCCCAGATTACGCAGCCTGCTTCTTTATCAGATTCCATGCTTTCTTTTTCCTTATCATCCTTGGCTCTTATGATCTCCTGGTCACATTTGTCAATACTTGTCACTCCCTCTGCTCAATATGGTGTCTTTCTGTGACATCATATAACAGTGTCTTTGTTCTATGCTGTTCTGTAACAAATGAGCCCCAAATTAAGTGGCTTAAAACACATTTCTTATCTGAGAATTTTTTAGGGTTTGGCTACCAGAAACAGCTTCATGGAGTCTTCTGTTTCAGGGTCTCTCACAGGCTGCAATCCAGGCTCCTGGGGAAGCCAGGGCTGGGTCTGCCTCCCAGCTCAGGGGTTGGTGGCAGGCTGCATTTTTCTCAGAGATTGTTGGACGGAGGCCTTCAGTCACCATTGGCTGATCACTGGAGGCAGCTCTCAGTTCCTTGCTATGTGAGCCCTCCATAGGGAGCTTCGTGAGAGCAAGCGAGAGAGCAACAGCAGGACAGAGGTCACAGCCTCCTGTAACCGAGTCATAGAAATGACATCACAGTGCTTTCTCTATATTCCATTTGTTAGAAGGAAGTCACCAGATCTAGCCCACACTCAAGGGGAGAGGATTGCATAGGGGTATGACTACCAGGAGGTGGGGGCATTGGCGGTCATCGTAGAAATCTACCATCACAAAAATCATGTGCAAAGTCTCTATTTAGTACCATACCTGGTGAGTCGAACGTCTGCTAAGTGATGGCCATGTTTGACATTACATTCTCCTGCTCTCTTACCTGTCCCACTGCCCTTGGGTTCACTTCAACAGGATGGGACCATTATTGTGGCATCAGACATAAGAAAAGTTAAATATCCATCACACACACACACACACACACACACACACTTTTTCTGTCACTGGGAAGTCAGAATAATCTTTCTAAAACCCAAATCTGATCTTGTCACCTCCAGCCCAAAACCTTTCAATGGATCCCCAACATCCTTAACATGTCCTTGTCTTGGCTTAGGAGGTCCTGCATGTTAGACACAGATTTACCCTTCCAATCTCATTTCTCTCCTTCTACGTTTTAGCCATATTTTCTGCCTTTTAGTTCTGTAAACATGCCATTTTCTCTCTCCCCTTTCTAGGCATTTACTAAATCTACTCCCTTACTTCAAGCCCTTGCATCTTAAGGAAAGGGGGAGTCCCTTCTCTTATCTAGAGCAATCATGAGGGCAGAGATCACGCCTAGTAGTTTATCACCCCATCTTTGGTACTCAGCACAGCGCATGGTGGCTGATAATTGCCACGGGGAAGACTGTACCTATGGAAGATAGTGACAGAGGGGTTTGCCCTGACATCACCCCATAGGCAGAGGGGCTGTGGGACTTGCTGGGTACAGGATTTGCTTTGCAACATCTGCCTCGTGGACTCTACCTCACCCCTGATGCCCTCAAAAAGTGGTGACACCGCAGCTTCAGGGCACTGTGTTTGTAGGGCAACAAATGCATAAAGAAGCATTTAGTGTTTTTTTTATGAGGGTTCCTGACATGTGTTTTTGAGTGAATGAATGACTTAAGAGATCCAAATGTACCCATCAATCTTGCAAATGACATTAGCCAGCATTCATTAAATACTTAAATCAAGCACAGTGCTAGGTGGTTCACATGTGGCCATCTCTCATTTAATGTTTACAACAACACTGTGAGTAGATGTAGTTATTCCTGTTTCATGGATGAAGAAAATGAGGTTCATGGAGGCACAGTTACTTGTCCACAGTCGTATTTATAATAAGTAAGTTGTTTTGGGACAAATTAATTGCAATGACAGCTACTGGTAACTAAGCCTTTTACCTGTTTACCCGTTCTCGATGTGAGTTCTCTCACTTACTGCTCCTAGCATCCCCTTACAATGGGCACTATCATTAGCCCTAAATTAAAGATGAGGAAACTAAGTTGCAGGAAATATAAGAATTCTCTCCCTGGTTACACAGCTAGAACAAGGCAGCACTGGGATTGGCTTTTTCAGTGCATACTTAATTACAGTGATATTTTAACAAAGAATTTTCTTTCCAAATATGAAATATGTCAGTGAGTATATTAAAACTATAAGCTGATAACAGTAGCCAAGGTTAGCCTTTTTCTTCCCTTAAGAAAAAAGACTGATGTCAATATTCAAGAGATTTGACATCATTACTTTAAGAAAAATATGAAATATATCTTACAGTGAGTTTTAGGTCTACTTGATTGAGAAATCGAGATTAATTTATAGTCAGATATTAACATGCTATTCATCTGAATGCATTCAAGCAAAGAAAAGTCTATATATATAAAAGGCTAATATGCTAAGTGACCATCCGACTGGTAGCTATGATGCGCACTGACCACCAGGGGGCAGACACTCAACACAGGAGCGGCCAAACTGCAGTGACTTGGCAGTGGCAGTTCTCGGGTGATGCACCCCAAAACCAGAGAGGAAGCCCGATTCCTTGCAGGGCTGTGCGATTCCACCTTTGGCTGTGGGTTATGTTATTGCTGGGGCACTGTCGGCCAGAATCTGGTTTACTGGCCACTTGTGTTTGTGTTCCACACCCTGTACAACAGCAACTTTGCAGCATGCCCTCTCACACTCAGGACCCCTTGGGGGATGTCAGAGAGCTGGTTTCAGCCCGATCCCCGCAGGCCAGGCCGAGGGACCTCACCTACCAGAGGGACCCTGCTCACTCCTCAGATGCCCTTTGAGCCACGGTGCCACCCGAGGTGTGGTCGGCCAGGGAGGGACCATGGGAGGTTGGCTCCAGGGCGTGTCCTGCCCATCTAGCCCAGTTCCACCCCGCCAGCCACCTTCTAATTAATTTCCTTTCAATGTGCACAAATCCGTGCACCGGGTCACTAGTATATTAATAAACAAGGATACTAAAAGGTTTTTACTTCCTGCTTCCCTGAAAACAATTACTAAAATGTAATTCAGGATTTTATTTCTCCAACCTGGCTTCTCACTTGCACCCTGAAGGTGATGGCACGGACATTAACTATTCAGCAGCTCCTGGCTTTCTAGTGTTATGTCTCCCTATCCCCAGCACTGGGACTTGAAGCCAGGCCTGCTTGGCTCCCCAGCTTATGCTGTTATAACAACATGAACCAAATGCCCAGGCCACTGTACCAACCACAAAACATGGGGAAAATGTGTCCCTCGAAAACCAAGATGTTTGAAAGCTTTTGGGTGCTTGCACGGGGAAAAGCCACAAACTCTGGTTTCCAGAAGTAATTACACGTGGCTCTCCTCTGAGTCCTTGCTGGGTAACTGATCAGTGGGGGTGGGGGATGGTGGTGCCCCCTCCAGCTTTCATGGCAAACTGAGATCATCAGAATCAGCTGGAAGGTCCCTGCGGTACATAGTTGCAGGGGCCTCACAGAATCTACAGGCCCGGATTTAGGAACCTGATTCCAGAAGCACCTCAGGAATTCTGATGGCCAGACAGATGGCAGCCCCTACTTTCCCGTAGCCCCTGTCCCCCAGAAGTACTCACTCTCAAGGCCCCCAAACTTGCCACCTCCCTCTTTATGAACTCTGTAGGAGGGTCTCCACTGCCTGCTGGTGATTAGGAATAAGCAGGTTTAACCTGAAGACTAGCAGGAGGACTTCCCATTTTCTTCGAGAGTTTTGCCATTGACCTGCCCTCTCCCATGGCAGGTGGTACTCCTTGTTTTGTTTGATTTGACCAAAACACATATTCTTTTCCTGACACCACTTATAAACTCCTTTTTCTAACATTAAATATAAGATGATGATGATGATATCTACCGCCATCGATGGGACACCTACTACGCACGCTACAAAGATTATCTGTCATCTCTGCAGAGCTGCGGTTTATACCTCCGTGTTTGCAAATGAGGAAACAAAGGCTCAGCGACCTTAATTAACTTGTCCAAACGTGTCCACCCAACAAATGGCAGAACCAGCCTGTGGATCCAGATGATTTTAACCCCAGAGCCCAGGTTCCTTCCAGTTCCCACCGCCCGTGTCATCTTGGGCAAGTACCCAACTGAGCAGTGTCGCTTTGATGAAAAGAAAGAATCCATGTAAAACTCCTGGCACAGAACATCAGGTAAGTTGTTCCGTATACCAGTTTCTCAGACCCTCTTGGAAAGCACTCCTCCCTCAAAAGGAAACGTTGTAAACGATTTCGGAGGCACTGCCACCCGCCTACCTCTCCGGAGTCTCAAAGGTTACCGGCTCTTGGACTCTGAGAAGCCCCACAGCAGGGAATCTAGTCTCACTGACCGCCCCCCCCCCCCCCCCCTAGAAGACATGTTTGTTTAAATCACTTAAATCCAACCCAATATTTTCGTCCTGCCCAGAAGGAAGGGGCCTGGTGCTCCCGATTGGGAGGGAGCTGCTTTAATGATCTCTCGCTCTGCCGGGAAAGGCCCTGCTGGAGGGGCAGGCAGTGGACGCTCTGGCTTTGATACCAGCGGCTAATCCCTGGCCCAGCTTGACACTGTCGCTTAGCAACGTGTCCTTTCCCCTTTCATTCTGTGCCTCTGAGGACACTTCCTCTCCTCTGGCTTCTCCTCAGCTGGGCGCTCGGGGCCCCTTAAGCCGCATTTACACAGAGAAGCAGGAGCCGAAGGCCCCGAGCGCATATTTATGTTAATAGCGCTGAGGGGAGAACAGCCAGTTCTGGAGGCTGCTTTCCAAACGCCACATAAATCAGTCAGAAGAGAAGTTACTATGTTCACAGAGACCCGCCAGAGCGGAGCAGCAGGTCTTGGCAATGCATCA